ACAGGGTGAAGGGGAACCGGGGGTGTGTGTGTGCTTTGCATGAGGCTCTGAGATTTGTGCAAAACAAGGTCAGAAGTCTGTTTCCCTCTACATATGCTTGCACATGTGTGTGTGTTCACACATTCCCAGGGACCCACAGCTTCCTCCCGCCTTGTGAAAGCACACCCCTCGTTCTTTTTTTTTGAAATTTGCCTAGAGGGTGACCCTGTTCCTCTTGGGAGAGAACCCCCCCCCTCGAGAGTCCTAGGCTGCCGCCCCCCCAAGAAGACCCCTTTAGGATTTGCTTGTCTGTCGGTTGTCTCTGGGCTTTTTTTGGGGGGGGAGGCTTGGGAAGGGGGGGGTTCCTTGCTCTGCATGAAAAGAGGAGGGGGCCTTTTTTATGGCTATGGTGGGGCTGAGAAGGTGGAAGAGTTTTGGACATCAAGGCTGGGAAAAGACCCAGCATGGTGTGCACTTTTAGGGGACAGAGAGAGAGAGAGAGGGAGAGATCTAAGTTGTGGGAAGATTCGCACACATGCTCTTGGGGGGGGGTTCATTCTTGTAAGTTTTCCCCCTTCATGGCATCTGGGGGCAAAATTCTCTCCCTTCTTCCCGGGTGTGTGTGTGTGTGCCATATAACCATGTGCTTTTCCTTCTCCCCAGCCCATTCCTGGCTTTCAGGGGGGAAAAAAGGGTTTTGGCCCCTGGCAGCATCAGCCACTCAATCTGTCTATGGGGTGGGGGGGTGGAGGAAGGCAAGGAGCCCCGAGTTTGGGAAGGGCTGTTTTAAAAAGAAAAAAAAACCAGCCTGAGAAGAATTACTGAACAGAAGAAAGTAGTAAAAACCTTCTGCTTGCAAACTGGGGCCCTGGCTGGCGGCCAGATGTTGGCTTCGCTGGCCCAGCGCCCCACCCACCTCTTTCTCATGTGTTTGGGGGGGGGCTGACGTCACAGCCTGGGTTACTGTCGGTCATTTCCCTCTAAGAGGAGAGAGTTCAGCGCCTTCTGCTCGGCCCAGAGGCCTGCAGCACTCAGGGGCTGCCCGGTGGGACCCCCCCTAAGCTTCTTGGGTCTTTCTATACCCCCCCAAAGGTGCCCGGGGCCTTAAATTGCAAAACCCACCCTGAATTGGGGAGCTTCTTGAAAAGCAGCTGTGTGTGTGTGGGGGAAGACACTGGCTTGGCCCCTGTTATGATTTTTTTGGGGGGGGTTGCTGTGATGATTACGCTCTCCATAGTTTTTATCCAGCACATTTCCTGGGGGGGGTTTAAAGGTGATCTTTGGTTCCTTCTTGCCGCTGCCTCGGTCTATGATCCTGTGTTTCTTAGGCAGCTGTTTTTAGTTGACTTTCATGGCCTCCCCGTCATGGGCAAGGTTGGAAAAAAGATGATGGGAACCAAGAGGGAAATGTAAGAATATTTGGGGTTTATACTGGCCAATTGTGTTGGAGCTACTGCTGTGCTTACCAATGGTTGGAATCTGTTCTGGAATAGATAACTGAGTGCAAACAGAAAACCCCTTATTGACTGGGTTCAATAACCCATTCAGTGATAGTGCAGGCCAAAAGAGCCATAGACTTAGTTACAGAAGCCACTAAAATTAGCTCTTTGTTGAGTGACTCTGCTCAGCGGTGTGTGTGTGTGTGCCTGCCATGGTGGCATTGAGGTATGGAAGCATGTTGCACTTGTTTAGATGCAGATATTTATTTGTGCCTCTAAGAGGCAGGTGCACTTGTCAAAAAAAAAGAGTACAGTACTTTTGCAAATGTTTAGGTCTGTGCTGCTCAAGAGAGAGAAGGGTGGAAGCAGGCGGCTTTTCCTTTCGGATGGCCACTGATACATCATCCTCTTCCACCACCAGCCAAAGAGGACGAAATGTAAAAGCTGCAGACCCAGATCCAGACATTGGAAGGCTGGCTACAGAACTGCAAGCTGGCTTGTCTTTAAAAAGGGGGTTCCTGCCCATGTTTCAGGGTCAAGGGAGTGGAAGAGCGACAGAGAAATGGGTCTTTCCCCCACCCCATCTGTTCCTATAATATTCCCTGAGTCCTTTTGGTGGTTGGTGGGGGGGGGGGAGCTGCTTCCACGATACACAAGAGGCAGAACTGGGAGATATTCCTACTTGGGACTACAGGTCCCCAAATCCCCGTATCTTTCCCTGCCTCCCTGCGCTTTCAAGAAGCCCGGATCATCCTCATTGGTCAGCCGCTCCATGCGACTGTGTGAAAACAGCTGGTTTGAAAAGCAAACACACTTTAGTGATTTCAGGGGGTAACCTGGAGTCAGCGTCAGGAGTGGACTTTTGATGTGGGGCCGAGGGTGAGACCCCATGTCTGGAAATGGGGCAGAGACAGGTCTGGTGTTGACTAGACACCACGTGGCCGTCTCCCCGTGGCTGGCAGGCGACTCTGTCTGGGTGCCACTGCTGGTTTCTGTGCCTAAGTTCGTGTTTGCTTTCTCGCTGGCCTTTTTCTTTCTTTCTTTTTTTTGGCAGAGTTTGGGAAAGTTTATTTTTGGGGTGAACTACAACTCCCAGAATTCTCCAGCCAATGTGGCCCTTGACATTCTGGGACTTGTAGTACCCCCCCCAAAAAAGGAAAAGAAAGCCTTATCAACCTCTCCTCTGTATCTTTAATTTTGGAGGGCAGCTTTTTTAAAAAGCCTCCTGGACCTTTCAAACGATGTTGGCAAGATTGTTCCGAGTGCGAAAGAGCAGATAGCATTGTGATAGATCTGTTGGGATGGGCATGAAATAACCATTTTGTGACCCTAATAGGAAAGAATGTTTTCTTGTCAGGCGGTGTGATGGATCCAGCTTGTCCTTGCTGTTCTGTGCATGATTTGTCTCAGGGTTGCCAACTTCCTCACCTCACTGTGCTCCTCTGCCTGTAAGGGATGGTGCTTTTTTTTCTCAGCCATTAGACTCATCTGATTGTTGACTTCAGAGAAAGGTATTAAAGACACAAGTGCAGGAATCTGGTCAGTTGGCAACGAGACAGAAGGAAGAGGCTTTGTCTAAAGTTGTACTTTGTAAGGTGAAATAACTAAAAAAAAAATGGCCTAAACTGAGTTTCCCCCTCCCCCCATCATTTGCCATTTGTATACTCTTCGTCTTCAACTTTAAATATTGTCTTTCAATGATTTAAGCCGCATTGGGTCCTTTTAAAGGAAAAGAACAGGGTAGAAATATTTTAAATGAATACAGTTAATAAATTCAAGACTGAATTGAGGCTTCGTATAGACCATTAAACCACCGTCATCTTCTAGAACCTGAAAGATCCCTGAAAAAAAGCCACAGTCGGAGATAAAATCCCATTTATTGCAGGTCCCGGTCGTAAAATATTAGATGGGCAGGGAGCATCCAGGTAACGCAAGCCGGGCATTCGTGTCGAATCACACACACTGGGTGGCTGGCGGGGCCCGTGACCTAAAGTAACCCCGGCTGCCTGCTGGGGCAGGGAAGGGGTTAACCCGGGATGCACGGCAGTAACCCGGGGACGCCATTCACCTTGGCGGGCTGCAGCCTCCCACCGGCGCCGGCCCTGATTGGCCCAACCACATCACCTCATGCTAAATCCGTGATTCACAATTCCACCCTCCTTCCCGCGTGCTGGTTGTTGGGGGTGTGTGTGTGTGTGGAGGAGGGAGGGAGGGAGGGAGGGAGGAGGAGAAGGAGGAGGGAGAAGACGGCCAAGGATGGAGGTGCTTAAATATGTAGCTATGCACTACACATTTCCGAGTTGCACTCTTCCCACAACGGGGTTGTCGAATCTGGGATCACGGGAGGTTGGAGGCGCCTAACTAGGTCCAAGCAGTAAGCCTTCCCCTCTCTAGCCGGGGCAGAGGGTCTCCACACATCTGGATCCCCTTGGATGGATGACCCTTTTGAAGGTACCCTCTCTCGCCGAGCGATGTCTTCCTTTCCAGATGCACAGCCTCTACCTGGTCTTTTTTTTTGTCTC